GGGGGTAGGGGGGCACATCAGGCCTTGCCGGTTCTGGGTTTTGTGGCTCTGCCTGGATGCTGCGGCAGTGCCACGGATCAGGGAAGCTTCCAGACCAAACGAAGCACATGAGGTCTCTGTATCCTATGGACGGGAAAGGCAGCGCAAAGAGGTCATCATAAATAGAAAAAGAACTAAAGTAAAAGTTAATGCGAAGCCTGACTTCCTTTTTACTTTCCCTCCTAAACTACAAAACGTTTGAGTGTTTATGTATTGGTTACTAATATGCGTGGTGGGGCTTTCTGGGGGTTTCCATGATGATTACATTTGAAAGCAAATTGCAGCTCTTCAAAAAGCGCCAGCAGCCCCATTCCAAATGGAGTTCCTGCTCGGCGCTCCTGACGGGAGCCGTGTTCTGACAGGCTGTCAGTGTGGGGACGATGGCCCAGCTGTCTGCCCGGGAGTGCTGAAAAAAGCCCAAACTGTCTGTTTAAGAAATTGTCCAACGAAGAGACACCAAAATGCAGTGGGTTTTTTTCACCAATTTTCTCCTGAAGGATTTGAAATTTGACAGGGCACCGTGGGAGGTGCCCTGTAAAGTGGCTTAGAAAGTTGGTCATTAAGCAGAGCTGTCATTGCAAATTATATCTGGCCGGGGTGAGAAGCTCTAGCTCATTTGGTGCCCAGACAGGTGTAGGCCTTAGGCGAGTTGTTGCAGTTCCCCCATGCTGCTGAGCGGACCCCGGGTGCTAATTTTCCTCTCTCCGTGCAGCTGGAGTCGCCTGGGAGCCCCTCGGGGCCGGAGCTGCCCATAGAGACGCTGCTGGAGGACCGGGAGCGGAGGATTTCCCACTCCCTCTACGGCGGCATCGAGGGTCTCGCCGAGTCGCCCACGAGGAACGCCGCGCTGGGTAGGATCATGGGTGAGTCGGATCGGCTCTGCTAATTGGGACATGGTTTTCTTCCTCTCTGATTCACTGAAGGCTGATTAATGTAATAATGCATGGGAGTCGGGGAGGTTCTGAGGATTGCACCGAGTTGGAGGTTGCACCAACCAACTTTAAACATACTTTAAAATGTTCCACGCAAGCCTTCTGGTTAGTTAATGTGAGAAAGTAAGTCAATAAATGGAATTATAAAGTGAATTGTGTATCCCATGGCAGATAATAGAACAAATGACAGGAGCATTTAAGATGGTTTTTCAGTATCTGATCTGGGGCAATAAATTATTGGCTGGTCTAGTCTCTATGTTGAGTCTTCATTCACATGAAAGTCAGTGACTCATGGGAACTAATAATTAATTTCAGCATTTCTTCTCTGTTTCAGTCATACTAAAGTACAAAAATAAATAAGGCAAACTTGCATCCGTTTATGCTTATTGCGGCATTTCATTAATTTGTTTGACTTTTTGCTTTGCAAGACACCAATTTTAAAACCTGGTAACTAATTTTGAGCATCCCTTGTGTAGGTTCTGTGCCGTACCATCTGCATGGCCCCAGTGGCTAATGAGGTTATTAGCAGTTGCTCTGCAGCAGCTCAGCTTCCCATGTACAGAGCTAGGTAATAAAGACTTGCCTTGCCACAGGAGTGGTTGGATTTACTGGCTAGGATGGGATTAGTTTGAAAGGATTTTCAAATTTAAACACAAAAAGCAGCTTGATGAAAATGGCACCTGACAGAAGACACGA